GCATTCATATTTTTAAAAACTGAATAAAAAATATTCATAAAAGTAAAAGCTTTTTTTCCCAGCAAGCCAATAAAAATGTACATGGACCAATAAACTCTGAACCACTGACCTGTTAGGTAGAACGCTGAATTATTATTACATCTACATCATTAACTTGTTGTCAAAAGCACACAAACACTTGCCTCATATTAATGTCAGAAAACCTTCCAAGAAGCAAGAGTACAAATTGCTTACATATCTTATTTTATTTAGCTTTGACTGCACTTGAGAGTATTTATTTATACAAAATATATAATATTTATATATTTTTTTTTTAAATTACGTTTTAATATGGCACATAAATACAATCAAAGGATTTATTTTTTTCTGACAGACGTTATATGCAGTTAAACTTTAAAGCATTACAATTTCTAAAATAGAAAACAATGAAAAGTTCATTTTGAAAGACGTGCTTTTTGTCTTTTGAATGTTTATTATTTCTTATTAATAAAACAAAAGCATTTCTTATCTGACTTCTCGATTAATCGACGGAATAATCAGTTGATTACTCGATTAGTAAAATAATCAATAGCTGCAACCATTCTCAGTAAAAATATATTTATTCATTTTCTGAATTACCTACTTGTGTATGCAATCTTGTGAAAAAGCGGCACATAGCATTTAGACTAAGTATAAACTGTGATAATCTCAATGAAAATATTATATTTGTTTTAAATGTAATGAGTAATAGAATAGTAGTTCTTCACCCTCATAAGTAAATCGTAAACAGAAACATAGACTGAGTGCTCCCTTATGATTTTTTCCCCCTGCAGTAACAGCCGAAACACAAAGCCCTCGCAGTCAGTGCACTTTAACAGGCAAATATGAACTAAGTGAACTTCAGCTCGAGGCTCAACTGTATAGACTGGGAATATTTTCCCAGAGAAATGATGAGATTCAATTTTCTGAATGTGCGACTTTATGATTTTACAAGTGCTCACTTCACAGAACGGAAATCCCACAATCTGAGCTCCTTCTGCAGCTATGACCCTGTAATGACTAACATGACACATGACTAATGCTATGTTATGTTATGAAAGAGACAGACCATCAGGCCACTGTTCTTTACAATGTCAGTAAAAGTTACACCAGATCCTCCATCAGTGCACTAATCTGTCAAAATGATGGATAAACTCTGGAGTTGTCTGTCATTGTCAGAAAAAAAGACAAGAATTTCTAAAAATTTCATTTTTTTTCACATCTAGAACCCTGGAGGAGGTTAAAAGTATGCCTGGTTTAAATAGAGACGGATTTTACACATTAAAAACTCTGGATTTAGGCTCCATGTATGCTGCCAACCCACTATTCTCCCTTCTTAGATTTCAAACATGAGTCAGTGTTTTCTCTACAACTGAGCCAAGAGCTGGACCTTTTTCTTCTTACTCACACTTTATATTTGAGGGTGACCAAAACCTAAACAGTAAGCAGTAACTTTATAGAAGGATGGTAAAGGAAAATAAAATCCCAAGCTTTGTCTTTTGCCCTGATTCTTTTAAGTTTCTTTAAGGCAGGAATATGGCACAGCAGTGACGACTCAGCACAGAGTCCGACTGGACTTCAGAAAGAAAAATAGTTTATTAAAATGTAGACTGTTCCAGCTCATCACCATCAAACACAAGTAATACAGTTAAATAGAGAAAAGATAAAACCAAGGAAGGTGAAAACAAAAGAAAGAGAGCTGGGAGAGCTCACCTTGTCGGGGCGGGGCCTTCTTGGCTTTGAACCTATCAGGTGAAGGTTCAGAGGGCTTGTTGTCATTCTCCAACACCATGCTGAGCAGAAGGGAAGGTTTCTGTTTGGTGTACTTACTGCTGAGCAGTGGATACCAGCGTGACTCCTGATACACACAACAGATTTATCAGAACATCAGCCCTGCATATCAAATCTTCTACCAGCGCACCTCTGAACAGACAGACAGACAGAGAAGACGTTCACCTGTTTGACCTCCTGAACTGATCGAAGGTCAATGACAATGTAGCCGACGCTTTCTTTTTTCTTGCTGACAGGGTCAACAGCAAAACACTGAAGCTTGATGGGAGTTCGCTGCAGTCTGAAGAGACAAGGCCATCAAGAGGCATTAGTGTGACTCGGCTAACATTTTCACAACCCTACTTTAGAAAGTTTTTTTTGTGGTTTGAGAGAAAATTTGTTTTCTGTAATACTTCAAAAGGTAGCTGCCTAACAAATCAAAAGTATTAGAAAGAACATCCAAACAGTCAGACAAACTGCTGTGATCGAACACCTGGGGACAAAGGGAAGGAAGAACTTCCTTTCAACAGGAAAAGACCTCCACCAGGGCCAGGCTCAGAGAGGAGTAGTAGTTATCTATTGTAACAATTTGGGAGGTGAGGCGAAAAAAGAAACATTGGCTAATTATGTTTTGTCCTCGTTGCTCAAACGATTAAATGAGAAAATAACCAGTGAATCATGAACTAGCCAAACAGAAACCTCTTTGACTTAAGTCTTAAGAAAGTCCAAACATGTGAATTATGGAAAATTAATAACAATAATCAGCCTCTGTACAGTTGTGAAGAGGCAGAGCATTAGGTACAGGCATCAAAAACCTTTTTTGGTCCCTGGTTGGTGTAATTTTTCTTCCAAGGTTGCAGTTCCAAGTAACTCTACACTTGGCTTGTCCATCTTTTATATACAGTCTATGGAGGCATGTGGTTGCAGCTCTACAGTCAATCTTTTCAACCTACTGTAATTTAATGGAAATTGTTCTAATATTAGTATTTTGTGGTTCTTAATTAAATAATTAGATAATAATAATAATTCGATTTTTACAATATTACCACAACTTTAACCTCAACATAATTTTCAAAAAAAACAGTCGCGTCATCACATAGTAAATCCAGTAGAATGTGCTATGCTTCCACTGTTTACAAGCATGTAGCAAAGAAGCATCGCAGCTAAACACAGTGGGTGGAGTCAAGTTGCGTATTGACAGAACAGACAATATAAAAGATAGACATGGACAGGGCTGGAAAAATGTATCCAACGACAAAGACCTTTTGTATAAATCTATGATGAAAATAACAGCTGTATCATGAGATCAAAAATATTAAATTGCTCATAGAGCCCAGGATGTGATTAAAAAGTTTCAAAAACACATGATATCTAACCTGTGCTGGTGCAGTGTCCTGCGGTCAAGCTCCCAGGCCAGCTCGGTGCTGAACTGCGGTTGCTCTCTGTGCTCTACAGGATCCGTGGCCAGCTGCTCTCCATCAAAGCTCGCCTGAACCACCAGACTGAGCCGAGGACTCTTTGGGAAGTGACGACCTAGGGATTGACACAAAGTGTTTCCGACACACTGGTTACACAGATGCTGATCAATTCTCTACTTTGTCCCACTTTCTATTGTGTACATCAAAAGGTTTTGATGTACACAGCAGAGAAGCACTATATAAGAATCAGTCCATTTACTTTTTACCATCTATCTAAGTAGCTGTATTAAATGATCATGACGTCTAAATCAATATGTGACTATGACTTATTCGTTAATTGAGCTGGCCATTAATGTCATGGTAAATTTGGCCTTTTAATTCGAAATAATTTAAAACTCTTGCATTCAATTCTTGTTTGTGAATGTCACTAAAGATGTGTGCTGTATAACTACTCCACCTTGTAAAAAGAACAGTTTAAAGAAATCATATAAAGGCCAACAAAGGCCAAACAGGTGGACAAGAGACAGAAAGCAGTGAACTCCCACATGGGGTGTTGCACCTGGCCACCCTATCTACTATGTGCTGAGTCACAAATCAGAATACTGATGCATTATCGCTGAAAGCCTAAATTCATCAAAACATCAACACAATGTGATAACTTGCAAATTCAACGATGACATAGAAAGTCATAGGTGTAAGAAGCTTTCTCAGCATAAATGACATTAACGTGGCTTCTATACTGTCCCCCGTGACAGGAATAGCTGCTTCACCAGCTTAGGGCGTGTCATTCGAACAGCAAACACTTAATGCCTCCTCAGCCTGGATTTAATTCACCGACCTGAGATCACCACCAACACTTGCAGCAGCAACAGGTTCGGCTTTTCCCCATGGGACTAACAACACCCGTTAAACGGCTGCAGTTGTGGTACCAACGAGTCAAATACGTCACGTATAAGCAAACATGGCTGGTAGCTCCAATGTAGGAGGGTTATCGGAGGATATCCAGCTCTTTAAATCGCTCACCTTCCAGAATGGACAGAACGATGAGAAGTTGGTCAGTCTTCGCAGCCATGTTGACATTTGTACAGCAGGGAAGTGAAAAAAAAAGTTTTATTCAAAATGGGAAAACTCTCCTTCCCGCCGCTGCTCAGCTGAGTTTTGACGAAGATGTCAAGGTAAAGAAACGTAGTTTACATAAAGAATAACTGTACGACCGTTACAGGCAGCAAACAGCCGCTTTGTTGTCAAGCTTTGGCGCCACCCATTTTGTTTTCAAAGAGGAAGTGATGATAAAGGCGCCCGAGTTCTTAGCACCTCATGCTGGTTGGAGGTGGAACTGCAGTAAAAGTTACCCACTACTACTATTACTACTACTACCACTAGTACTGCTACGTCTGCTATTACTACCAGAGTTATTATAGTTTTGTGTTTTCTGAGTATTTTGTAATTTAGTTTTGATTTTTTTTTTATTCTAATATAACTGATTTTCATTTAGTTTCCAGCGTGGGTTTACTTATTTAAATTTACTCCCTATAGATTGAAAATGTTAATTTTGAAAGCATTATGTTAGCAACAGGACCCTATAAATCACTTGTACCTTACAGAGGACAGATGTTTGCCTGTCATATGCAAGGTGTTACACTTCATCACATAAAACTGTTTTTCACACAGTTATTTTTCAAACATTTAAAAAGCCAATGGTCAACATGCTGTTGAAACACAAATATCCTGAAGAAAGAAAGAAAGAAACAAAAAAAACCCTTCACTGACCAAAAATGTATATAAACATCCTTTAATCATGATTGCCAAACATATGAATTAAGGCATATACAGTATAAAAAAGCAACAGCAGGTTTCATGTTTTTGTACGTTTTCAGTGTGTGAATAACTGGATATACCAGGTGGATGAATTGAACATACCAAGCAGCCTTTTAAAGACAACACTGTGTCTCCCAAAAGTTGACAGCATCTTGTAAACAGAGTTCATAGCACTATATTCAAGTAATAGAATGATCACTGATACTATGCAGGTAAGGTGTTGTGAGTGAGGCAGAGCTACTCATAGACAAGGTAGACCACTGGGATGATGTCGTCAGTCAAGGGGCCACAAGAGGTTATTTATAATAAATACAATTATACAAAAAGGAAGCCCCCTACTGTTCAGTAGGGTTATAACCCCAGTGCACACTTTCCTGGCGAGGTTATAGTCACAATCGTTTGTTGAGTGCTCATTTGTTAAAACATGATTATTCTGTTAATTATATAAGGGGGCCATTTAATCTAATGGCTGTCACTACTTTGTGATCTCCAATTTTCTGTGATATTTGATCTATTTGATTCACCTTTCATATAAAGGCTATTGTCTAATTAATACACACAAATACACATACTGCAGCACTGTGATATTGAGCTACTCATGTCTTTAGCCTAAACCAATAGTCATTAGTCAGTGCTTCCAAATTTTTGGAGATCATACTGGTCATACTTGGAACTGTTCTGAGTCTGTAGCTGATATCGAAACCATTAACTGGCCCTCACTCTCAGCCATAATCCTCTTGACATGGTGGCTATTGATAATAGCTGACCATCCAGAGGCTTTTGGATCAGAGGGCTGGTGAAATAAGCCTTGGATTATTTGCTTGACTGACAACCTGAAACTATATTTGCGGAAACAGCCTATTAGAGGTCTACTGTTGGTCTTTTTAAGCACATATGCCAGATATAAACATTATCACTCTGACAGTAGTTCTCCAGTGAGTTTTGAACAAATTTTGGATCATCTGTAAACATACATGCATCTACTGAACCTTATTTAAGCTGGCAGTGGTACAACACCAATGGTAAAGTCAGACCTTTGTGTCTATCAGGGACTCTGCTGTGAGCTAGTTAACTTGTAGAAAGCATGGGAGCAAGAGCACGAGCAGGGCGAAGGATTGTGGCACTCCACATATACAGTATGTCCCCACAGTCATCACTGACAATACAAATGTGGGCATTTCAACAAAAGGATCATTCCAGTGTGCATCCACTTTTCATTATTTGAGTGCAGATTTGATCTCATTAGATATTTCTGGCAACTTTTCTATCACTGTAAGTGTCATTGAAAATAAATATTGTAATCAAATCAACTATTTTTTTCCTAGAGCCCAAGAATCTTAAAATATTCTGTTGTATGCATCTAAAAACTGTTTAGATGGCAAAATGTTGTAATCGAAACTGAGCAGAATCTCATGCAAGTCAATGATTTAATGCACAATGTGAAAAAACAAAAGAATAACAAGAAAACAGAAGTCAACCCCAAGTTCACAGTCTGCATCTAGTCGTTCCATTTGATAAACAAATCGGTGCCAGTTATTGTTTTTGGTTTTTTGCCATCAACTCACTATTTTACCTGAGTGAAAATACCATGTTTCAGACAGCCTCGAGGTTATTGTAAATAATTTCCATTAGAAAGGAAAACGTTCACTGGACTTATCCTTCACAGAGAGGTATTTTAACAACAGAATTTATAAGCCCCAGTCTGTACATCTGACTTCAAAATCACTTTGACATTAAGCCTTGACGTTTGCTCTTTCCAAGCTGTTTAACTTGAGCTCATCAGATTAGACGTATCATGTCACATATCATGTGATCTTTCACAGTAGATCAAACTATAACTGTTCTAATTTGCATTTTTTTAGTCTATTTATAGACTTTTAGAGTAATCTGTATTTGACATGACTGCGAGCTCCAGAACTTCAGTTAGATGGACCCTGAGCATGCCTCAAAAAACAATTCAGCTTTTGAAAACACGATCTCTATATTACTCATAGCCGCTGCTAAACACTGTTGTTTTCGCTGGTTTTATCAGTCTGGCTTGCTCGTGCATGCAAAAACATGCATGCGATGCTGCTGTTGAATTGCAGTCTTTCTAATAGCTGCTGGAGGCTAGCTCCAAAATGAATCAATGCTCCTGCAAAAAATTTAGCTATAAAATTAGTTAATTCTGCTCTTTCATAAGAACTCTATAAGGGATGAATCAATTTTTCTGCTCAGCTTTGGATTTTGTTAAGGCTGGCAGGTGTGCCAACCCAGGTAGCTGTACCTGATCACTGTCTGCTAGCCTGCACCTCTTCTCCTAATCGGAGTCTCTAAACTGGATCTCTCAACTGTGTTTGTGCCGTTGGTGCCATTTGAAACATTTTTAACAAAACTCTATATACATTCTACATTGTATGACCTGCTGCGCAGGACATGCTCGTGCAAATAAAATTAAATTGTGCTTAAGTTATAGTTAGTAATTAGTGCTATGTAAATTTCTCTTATATAGCACTAATTAGCAGATATCTGTGTCTGTGCATTGCACTGTTAGAGTCTATGGATGTAACTAGCTAGCTGATAACTTAGCACCCCACTCCCGAGGCCAAATATGAACTCCAAACAGACTAACATGGTGGGGACCAAAATGGTAAAGGTGAAGCTTCAAAAGTAAAGGAAGTCACAGTGGCCATGTCCTTCTCTGATGTACAAAGCTCAGATGAATGTGATGTAGATTTGCAATGCGTTCAAAAGAAATCATCTGTTACTTATACTTCACTCAACAGTGGCCTAAATATAGCACACCTGAAAAACTATCTGTACGCAAATAATGAAAGTGCATCCAGTAGGTGTGAAGATATTTCACAGACGCTAACATCCCTCAGGCACACTGCCACTCATAAGAAGCACAAACTGGGGCGAACTGATTGTATTCATCACGTATGCAGTCTAACCAATGACATCACCGCATGTGCTGCAGATAAACTGAAGTCAGCGAGATAAACAGTGGCTCTGTTCCTGCCGGTCGTCCCCGCTCTGCCCTCTGCTCCCATACACGGCTGATGGAGATCAACATAGTGTACGATAAAGCATGTTAGTGCTCTGCCATGAATCTGTACAGAATATATACACCACTGGGTTCCTACATGGCACTGGGCAGGTCAATGTGAAGGTTTACTCTCACATAAAGACAATACAATCAACATGGTTACGCTCAAGTTACAGGTTAGTAATACAAATGTAGCGTCAGCACTATGGAGGGAGGAGGACTTCCACTTCAATAATCATAATGAGAATAATAAGGATAATAATAGACTTTTTAGCTTCCTAATGCTGTTTTTGTCCCATTTAAAAAAAACAAACAGATCCACACTAATGTGGTAAAGTGTAAGTCATCATCAATACATTCAGTCATATCATCATCATAATACACGACAATAACTGTGCATTTCTAAAGTTAAGTACCACAGCCCTGGTTGGGCTGAGTGCACGGCGCTCTGGGATGTTTTGTTTCATACATGCCACCTGCTTCTGTCAAAACTCTGTAAAACCAAAAGCTCTAAAAGTCAGTGATTCTGGATTTATACAGGTAGTTCGTCCTCAAACAGGTCCTGGTCCTGCTTCCCGTCCTGCTGTCAGCTCATCAGTTCCTCTGTGATGAGTTATAAAAGTGGTTCTTCTTTTATTAGTAAGAAATGAAAGAAGTTTTTTTTTCTTGATTTTTTTTTTCTTTTTTGTTCTCTGCCTCTCAGCGAGGCGAAGCTTATTCAACACCATGGAATTGATGTCTGATAAATCTGCCATTCCTCATGTGAGACGTGGTCACATGGTCCTACTTCTTCCCTTCGCTGTCTGTGGAGACAGGGAAAAAAAAAAGGTAAACTTTACTACACTTAGGATTTATGCTGAACAGAAGTAGAGATGCATCTGTGCTGGGTGAAAACAGTCAGGCCTCCTGTTTAGATTTGACAACACAATTTCAATTACAAACACTGCCTATTAACTGCTATGATTAAAATTAATGCAGCATTGTTGTGCTTTCTGTCATGTTTTTCAAGAACCAGGGTGGACAACCTGCTTCTTAATGTGTAAACATACCATAAAACTGGCTACATCTACTTGTTGTTATCTCATGTTAATGATATCCCTAACATTGCATGAATAGTTGTTATAGTCCATAAAAATTCTTCCTCCTCTCAGAGGACACTGAATCATGTAAACTATAAATAGGACAGATTATGATTGTTTCACTTTGTATTTTTATTCTTTAAAGCTAATAGAGTCACTTTACATGATTAATCAAATTTTAATTATACCGGGCGTTGGTGCAGCCTCCTCAGTTCATCCTCTGTGTGACATTAAGATGTTTTCACTCCTGTTCATTGAAGGTGACTCTCCCGTTAAAGGTACTTATTGTAAATTCTTGTGCTTAACACCAACTTCAAACTTTTCAGAATTAACTAAAGCTTTGAAAAGAACATTAAGATTCAACTGCTACATCTTTATGACCCGCACACATATATGCTGAAGAGATATCAACTGAAGCTGAACTGGGGCTGTGCTCTACTTTCGTGTAGTACCAATTTGTACCACAAGATGGCACAGTGAGTCAGTGTAACCTTGAAGCAACACCCATTTCTGTGGGAGCAGCTAAAAAATAAATTAATGACTAGCACACATCCTGAAAATATCTCAATACAACTTAATACAGCATTTGATAAGATGCCGATACTGGCGGGAACTTTTTTGCTAAATTCTTAAAAAGATGATTAGAAAAGACACATTTAAGCCAGCCTTCTCCTGATTACTGTCCACTTACAAAAAGAAGTTTTAAACGTCGGGTGGGTGGGACATATGTGCCTGAGATGACCATATTAAGGATCTCCTTGCAACAGTATATTTATATAACAGAAAGCCAGTAAAATCGAAATAGGATCTCTTTTAAGGGGCATTTTATTATTTGTTCTTTCAAGTAGTTTTTTGTAACACAACTCTTTAATACCTGAAGGAAAAACAGAGATAATTGGTACATGATCTGCAGATGTCACTCCAGGAAGATTACAAATTGCTCCTGTTTTTGGATTCTATAGAGAAACGTGGATATTCTTCATTTCTCTGCAGCTGTGTGCCTCCACTGTTGCCATCACTGCTGTTAATCTCCTCCATTTCACAGCAATTTACATTTATAGACAACTGCAGTGTCTGCAGCAGTACTGTAATCATCACATTAAGCTTTTTAACTGCCTGTCAGGTTCCCTCTGGAATATTTTCACAATTTTAAGCAAACATGGTGATATATGGTTTATGAAAGTATATGGAAAACACTGGAGAGAGGGTAATGATCTACTGGAGGATAATTTCAGCAACGAGGTACGAGTGTCGCACAGCCGAATAAGCAGAGAGCTGTTATTCCCAGCAGAGAAGTTTCAGATATTAGATTTATTGACCTGGCAGACGGCATGAAAATGAGACAATTGTCCAGCTCGTTTTGCTCTCAGTTTGCATTTTATGAGAGAAAATTTTAGCCAATTCATTTCATGATATGAAAACCTGGTAGATAATTTATGAGTCTGTGAGCCACACTGAGAGCAGAACAGGATATTCTGCACATAAATGATGAGTAATTTCAGCAGTAAAACAACACCCTGGCCACTTCAGTACTCTGTGTGCCAGAGCTTTAATACAAAAATGGGCCTAGTTTTTACAGTATTAATATCCAAGCTAACTTAGAAAATGCTTCCGTGATTTGAAGGCAATCTGCATTAAAAATCTAAGCAGCAGTTGTGCTTAATTTGTCTCCTTATTAGGGTGACATAAACCTTTCTTTTAAGAACTTGTACATGAAAAGAAATAATAAAAAATGAACTAAAGCAATATATAAAGTCTAACAATAAAAGCAGGCAAAAACGATAAATATATGTGCAGTATATCAAGATCTTTAAAGACAGTGAATTAGAGACTAAAGAGCAGTATCCCAACAATGAGTCCATGCTGCTCCACCCTTTTCAATCAAAGTTGTACAAGGAAGTCTCAACAAAGATGTCTAGTCTATGTATTAAAGATGTTCTGGTCCATTTACCCTGGTTTCCCAGGTGGAACCAGTGAAGCTTTAACATAATTTCAGTGTGTGTTTCCAACGTACCAGTTGAGGAGTGCCCTGACACCTGCTGACTGGAGACCAGCGACCTGGAGCTCAACCCTTAAAAACATAGGAATAGGAACATGAAGAGAGAGTCAGCTGTGATCAATGTTGGAGTTGTTACTCAAAAAAAGGTAATGTATTACACAGTACTTTACTTTTTGAAACAGGTAATGAACTACATTCCTCAGCTGGTACCTGAGGAAAGTCATTTATCTAATACAGCTTCTCCTTTGTGACATCACGTATGCTTTGCATGGCCTGAGATGCACTGTCAGATAATTACCAATTAACAGTATGAGAGTAATGTGTGACTTAAGTCTTTTAGAGCCTACGTCGTAGTACACTCAAGTGGCCGACACTGTTGCCACCATGTGTGTGTTGTGTGCATGCAATGCTCTGCAGTTCCACTGCTAATACACTACTTGGTGCTGAAGATTCTCTCTTTGAATTGATCCATTGTCTACAGCAGCGGTCCCCAACCCCGGGGCCTCGGACCGGTACCGGTCCGTGAGTCGTTTGGTACCGGGCCGCGAGAGTTGAGGCTCAGGTGTGAAATGTATAGTTTTCAGGGTTTTTATCGGTTTTGAGCGTTATTTTGTTATCGTTTTTATCGTTAACTCGGTTTTCCTGAGTATTTTCACGTGTGTTATGAATAAATCTTCTTTTTTTCGGTACCGGTACTAGTTTTATTTTGTCGTATTTATCCACGACACCTTAAAGGCCGGTCCATGAAAATAATGTCGGGCATAAACCGGTCCATGGCGCAAAAAAGGTTGGGGACCGCTGGTCTACAGGATGAGCAATTCACAGTTGATTACAATCTCTGTTAATGTGACATCTTGTTACATTTCTAGGGAGATGCATGTGAGGTTATGGCGTAAGTTAAAGCACAGGGATTCAGAAAGGTTTGTGGTGCATCTATCGCATAGATTTATCACAGAAGCTTAAATCTCACTTTAGGCTGTAGCCCCACACAATGATACAAATCTCTATCCTACCCAGGACAAACACACAAAATATGTTTTCAGTGTTTAAGAGCAAACATCAGGTTGACAACAAAGCTGAAAATCAGCAAAAAGGAGTCACGTTAGCAACAGCTTTTTCGGCTTTTTAGTCTGTTTCCACTTTAATATTAGCTTCTCACCCGTTTTGTGCAATTAGAGTAGAAGTATTATTGATGTGTCCACTCCTGAAAACTTGCAACCACTCAACTAATTTTTGCCTCCCTGCACATGATGTGAAGTCATCTAATTGTAGTATGTGCAGGAATAAAATGCACGTTTGATTTTTTTATTTTGAAATCCATCAATCCTGTAGGTAACTGAGGAACTTTCTTAATGCAAGTAACACCATAACTGTAATGTGATTACTATGTTACAGAAAAATGTAATGTGATTCCAGTAACATGTTATTTTGTATAGCATATCTCATTATCTAAACACTGTCTGCGTTTGTTTTGCAGATTCATACCTTGGTAGATGTCGTACTGTCCTGACATCAGATTGTAGCTCATACCCAGGTGTGTGTGATGGTGTGTGTGGAGGTGTCGGGCGAATGACACATGGTTCCTCTCTCTCTCCGTCTCTCTCTCTCCCTCAGGGGATCCCTTCTCACCAGGCTACAAACACACACACGCACGCACAAACACATACAGACATACACACACACGCTTACACTGTGCCTTTCACTTTTCTGTCTCCATAAGATTTTAGATGTGATCACTATTTTGATTTATTACATTCACATCATGCCAAGAGAAGTTATTTTATATTGACAAAATCAAATCAAGAATTATCTTTGCTAATTTTGCCAAGCTTAAGAAAAAATTGCAAAATTGTATCTCTATGAATTTTTCAGCAAACAGCAAAAGGTTTGTTTCTGCCTTCTGAAGTGACCCATGTAAGACACGACATCCTGAAACAGTCATGCCTTTGTTAACAAGTTTGCATGGTGATAGTGTTTAAATACACACATATTCAGGCCTATAATAAGAAGCTAATGAGTAAAATCCAAGTTCAGGTTGGGAGATGTTATATATGAGATAAGCAGCCACCACTTACAGACTAGCCAAAATACCCTTACCAATCCTGGAAGAGCCTGTGGACCACAAACCATGATGTAGGAGGAGCATCTATAGGTTTTAGTGTCAGTCTGAAGTCGAAAAGTAAAGTCAAAAGTTGTGCATGTTTTGTTGCGTACATTGTGTTAGATGCAACTTGATTCCTGCTTTTCTCCTGTTACCTGCAGGCTACTGTAAAACATTTTTGGTTCTTTAAGCTTTAATATATGCGCCTTAAACTTGTTAAAAAATGAGACTTCTAAGTGTGCTAATATTCAAATGATTTTATTTTTCTTTAACTGTTAAACTTCACAAAGGCTAAAACTGTCTAGGGCACATCTAAACACTCATTTAATGGAATAGAAATATAATCCATCAGACAGTTAACTTATACAGTCAACATTTTGCCGGCTTTACTTTGTGGTTTCCAGGCTGAACTTTATTAATATAATAAGTCCAGTCTTTACGAAACAAATCATTTGCGGGACACCCACATGCAGGGCTTTTAGTATATTTTTCCTCTCACTCTCTGTTGCTTTGTCTGCAAAGGAAAAACAAAACAATAACCTGATTATAAAAATAATCCTAAAACCTTCTTTGCACATGTATGTGTTGAGGTCATCACAATAGTTTCCTATTTAGGGGTTTATAAGGCATGTTTATGCCACGCTGATGTTATGTGATGGTCTTCGTGAGTGACTGCTTTAAATGCAGAGTGGAATCAAAGCAGTCTACCATTTTTACCCCCATCTTTATCTTTCCCTGAGGTGTTTTTCCTGTCTGAGGAAGATATCAGATCTGTGTCGTGTGAAGGAAAACAAACATCAGAAGTGTGTCGCTGTGAGCTGCAGTGTGGATGTGGCAGTAAAGCCTCTCACAGCAGGTGATTTTCCGTGATACTGATGGCTCTGCTGCTGCAGCAGCTCCATGGCTGAGGATGAGGATGAGTCGCTGCTCTGCTTGCTGCTCACCGCTCCTCCTCTGCCGGGTGGTGTCACCTCCGATTCTTCCCTGCCTGCTGTCTTACCGTACAGAGGATAATGAAAACCTATGACGACAAACACAGAAACAAAGAAACAGGCACACAGTAACTTTACATATCTATAAAAAATACAAATTATATTACCAACTCCAAACCAGTACATTCATTTGCAATACTTAACATGATATATATGATATTTATACTTGCACTTATTAAACTTTATTATAAATCTAAATGAATTGCACTTTACATTTTTAAGAAATACACAACGTAGCTATGTGACACTACTAAAACTCATATATGCAAATTGATATATTTATGATTTGCCACCAAACACTCAATTTTCTGACAGTTATTTCATGGTTCAGGCTTTAAAGAATTAACTAAGCCAAAAATAATCAAGAAAATTTCTTAATATAGTTTTGCATGTTAAGCAAACTCATCTTTTGCTGTACATGAACAAGGAGAATGAACAGACGCAATATATATGAGAGATTATGTTGTGAATTGGAATTCAGTTTCATAAATAAAGGCCTGCTGTTGCAGTTGCCTTTCATACTCCAGTATATACTCCAGTATAGGGGGCAGCATTGTGTGACAATATCCTTTCAGACAAAGGACCCCCAGCCATCCTGCTGAGGCTGAGCTGTCATCAGCTGTGAATGAAGAATGAGTGACTCACCAGAGAAGCAAATTTATATATTGCTCAGTTATGTTCACTGATATTCTCAGTATTCACAAAGTGTTGGGAGATTAGACTATGTGCAGCGGAGCACTGCATAACCTATGTGATGTGTGCAAGTGTATGCACTTCAGACTGCACAGGCAAGTGAACAACCCACTTCTTTTTGTGTGAGGGGAACAAAGAAGAAATGCTTGACTGTTTTATAGTCAGCTCATCTTCCTGGTACAAACCTGATGCGACATGCCAGATAAACACCAGCCTCTGTAATCAGTGAAGGGTATTTTATTTGCTGAATGACAGCAGGTAAAACTCATATGATGGCTAATACTATGTAACTATGCATCTTCACTAATTTAAAAGCCTTTCAGTGATTCAGTTTCAACTAGCACATCAATTCTTGTTATTGCTTCAGCTTAAACTTCATACTGAATGTTTCAGATGTAGCACTCAACTGTATTTTAATGTGAATACGCAAGTATAAGTGTAAACAAGAACTTTAGCTAAACTACTTAGCTGAGCCGAGACTAAATGGTGGAAACAGAGGTAAATAGCTAACAGTTCCCTAGATTAATTTTTGCATTGTTCTGCCTTTGTCTTCTGAGCTCTTATAACATATTTACCAAAATGTTGAACTACGCCCTTAACATTAACTCCGACCTTCACTCAGTCTTACCTGGGTAATTGTGGACCAGGGTTGGGGATACCCCTCTGTAGGAGCCCCCACTGCTCTCGCACATTGCCAGGTAGGGTTGATAGGAGGAGTGCTGGTACTGAATGTAGGGCTGCTGAGGGGTCATTGGAGGAGAAACTGCCGCCCGGGCACTTTGTGACTCCTCAGACAGCCCTCCCATTGGCTCCTGGCCCTGATCATCCAGCCCTTCCAGCCTGTCTGAATCCTCCGTGTCGATGGCAGGCGGGAGATCGTGCGGTGCATGGACCCTGGCTTTTTTAGCATCTGCACCCACAACTCCTCCTCTTTCTCCTCCACCTCCTCCTCCTGAAGTCATCTTGGCTCCGGCAGGCTCCATGGTAGCTCCCCATTCTTTTCCACTGTCTGATTCGCCCTCCTCAGCCTCCTCCCCATGCTGACTCTGTAGCTCTGAGTATTTGCTGTGAGCGAGGCGGTGAGCCCAGGTGGGGCCGTCTGAGGGCTAGATCGATGGGGACAAGTGTTGGTGCTACTTGCAGTGTTTCCCCTATAATTCTTTGTTAACAGTGGTGGGTGGGAGTCATTTTGGGGTTGGTTCAACTCCAGTCCACGTCTGTCCCAGTTTGTGTTTACACGGGTAGTCGAAGGGCTAAAACTAAATGCCTTTTTTTGGATTAAGTCTAAATGTTATCTCTTTGTCTCTTGGGATTTTTGGAGGAAAAGCAAAGCAAATTTATGACTTTCATTGCACATTTTCTTTTTAACAGGGGTGGAAAATTTCTTGTTGCGGCGGCCCACCGCTGCTGAATGACTATAGAGGAAACACTGAGTGAACAGAGCCATAGACAGACCATCTATCACTGGCTCTGGGTGTGATGTTGATGAAGGATGACGACGTTTCAACAGCAGGCGGCCATTCAGAAGTGGGATGTGAAGACTGTGGCGTCCCTCTCAATGACACGAATCAAGACACGCCTCACACATGATCAAGTGCAGAATTTAGGCCAAGAAAAAAAAGAACCTACCCTCCCCAACGCAGCTTTTGCTCAATTTGTACAGCCTTTGTTTGTTTTTTCTTTTTTACATCAGCATGGCTAGAGTCAGCGATTAATCGCATTGTGAGAAGACATGGGTTACAAATCTGTACAAGCTTATGGGTTAGAAAGGGTTTTTTTTTAGCTTCTTTACAGCTAAGGTGGTAATTCTCTCTCTAAACATCAAAATCGTTTGCCTCCATCAAATCAAACAATTTTGAACGAAGTAGCATGTTAAAGTAGAGCTACACCACCACAGAAGCCACATGGTCTTTTTTTATTAGCACCTATTGGTTTAGCTGTACACACTGTGTGATTAATCTCTTTGTGACACTCAACAGCAGTCATTAAAGCACACCAACAACACCATCAGCGGCGGCGGCAGGTTATAGACACAGGGAGAAACTTACACTGGAAAAGGAAACATTTGAGTCCAGATCTGTCTGACTGTTTGGGTTGTGGAGTGATGAAGAAGAGGAAGAGGAGGGTGACTTGATGTCATCACAGTCTTTCATTGAGACCTGGTGCTGGTCCACCATGCCACTGTGCACTGACTTTATGCCCAGGCTCTGTCCCCTTTCTCCCCTCTCACTCATCTCTACATAGGACAGGACAGGTTTGGGACAGCAACCTTTAGCACCGTCTGGACCTTTACCTAGCATGGGTCCACCAGCTGAACACCCAACCACATGTTTAACTTCCTCACTGTCTCTCACAGTCTGTGCCCTCTGCTTGGCACTGGATGTCTGGTCACAGCATTTGGAAGATAATAACAGTTTTTGGTCCATGTACAGTCCCCTTGAATACTGGCCATAATATAGGGACTGGGCCAAAGCTGTCTGGGTCTGACTCATAGCCAGCTGTAGCTGAGACTGAGGTGGTCCGTCACCTTTCTTGGAATCAGAGAACTCGTGGGAGGAGTTTTTATCATCCTCTTTCATTTCTTCTTTTCTGTCTTTCCCCTTGCAGTCGTGGGCTGAGCTTTTGTGGAAAGTCATGTTGCTGCTGTTCTGCCTATCTGACTGCATGTATCCTGACAGGTAGTAGGGCTCATAACTATGGTAGTACGGGGACTGAGGGTCTTTTGATGACGGGGTGCATGCTGTGGGTGGAGTTTTACCAGAGTTACTATGGTTGCTGTTGGAGCTCACCTCGGAAGAAGTTGAGGAGCCAGACTTGGATCTGATTCCATCTGACCGACATTCGGAAGATCCCCCATCATCTGCAGCATCTGAGATGTCAGAGTAGGCGGGACTGTTATTCTTGCTGCTGCTGTCTGCTGTACCCAGGCAACTACCACTTGCATCAAGGCGTGATGAGCTACCAATAGAGGGACTGGGGGCATTGTCAGTAAAGGTGTAGACCTTGTCGGCCTCAGCACGAATACTGGCCATCCTGCTCTCTTGGCTCTCACTGAGTCCATTCATTACATCCTGCTTGCTGAGGTGTTCCTTTAGAAGGCTTCCAGAATTCTCTTTCACCCCAATTTTAGACCCAACACCATCATCCATTTTTATTCCACTGCTGTCTCCATTAGGTGTTCTCACTGCATCTTTGTTATGTTTGTCTTTAAGTCTCCGCTTTTCTTTTTTCCTGGTCTCCTTGCAGGTGACCAGCGTAGCTTTGACCAGGCTTGGCTCTACAACAATGCTTAACTTTGGCTTGATGGGTTTCAAAGGAAGATTTTTACTAGTGAGGCCTACAGCTGCCATAGGAGATGGCTGCTGTGAGTTAACAGCATCTGCTGTGCTGGATGGATATGTTGTGTTGGGTATGGCGATAAGTTTAGGGGGAGCAGGGGCTGGAGCAATTGGCCGGTTGGTCCTTGACTTGGACATCTTCTCTACCTTCCCGTTGGCCTTCTTGCCCTTATCACAGGCACTTCCCTTTTTCTCGATCAAACCTTCAGCTTCCAGTTTGGGCATCTCGACTGAGGAGTTCCTGTCTGGGACCATGCAGTTCTCCAGAACCACAGTCATGTTAGATATGATTGGCAGATTGCTAAGGTCATCAATTAGACCATCTTTTAGCAGTGAGGTTCTTCTGGTTTTGGAGTTGGCTGTGGGGCTGTGGTCGGTACTGAGAAGAAGTCGTCTGTTTTTAGGTGACCCCACTGTGGTCACCTTATACAGAGGAGCATTTTTCTTTGAGGAGCTGTTGGTATTAGTGCTGTTGTTTGTCTCTGAGAGGTCATATGTCATGTTGCTGATGCTGTCCTCGCAGTCTGATAGCCGTTCTTCGCTCTCCCCATCCTTCATGGGTTCCAGTTCAGGCTTCCGCTGCTCCTCAACCTCCAGGTGTGCATGCGTCTGGTGGTAGCGCAGGCCATTGATGTGCTTATAGCGCTTAGTGCAGTTTGGGTGGGGGCAGTCAATGAGGATGGGTGGTGGTGGTGATGAAGCACAGCCTCCTCCTGGATCCATAAACGATGGGTCAGATTTACCCTGTGGTGTGGACGGGGCGCTTCGGGATTTTGCACGAATCCTCTTCCCATTGCCATTTTTAACGTCATCTGAGGAGACCAGGCTGAGATCCAAGTCAGATGGTGGCTTGTTCTTTCGCTTCCCAGATGAGAGAGAGGCTGGTTTCACTTCCTCCACAGTGAAGAAAGAAGGAGGTGCTCGGCAGTTGCTGTTGATGAGGTTAAGACTGCCTCTTCTTCCTTTGCTGTGGATAGGTGCAGCTGTTCCGGCCACACCACCTCCGCGGCTCCTGTGCTGAGACAGACCACGGACTTTGGCAGCAGGGGTCGGCTCTACACAGGGTCGATCGGCCATGGCAATTCGCATACGCTTTCCCCGGCCACGGCCACCTGGTAACTCAGGGTCACTGGAGGGTGATTCACAAAACCTAGACAGAGGAGGAAAAAAACAATGAACTAAGTAAATTCCCTTTGATCAAATAACAGTCATACTAATCAATTAATCAAAAGCCCTTGATTAACTGATCATCTTTAAGTGTGACTAACTCTACAAAAGCAGAGTTTCTGACAATTTTGAGGTGGGTAATAACACAATTCAATCGAGAAAAGACTTCTACAGCTGATCTTAGAGCTTTGAGAATGAACAGTTATTGCCCATAAATCTGGAAACGGTTAAAAGGCCATTCCCAAACAATTTGAGGCCCATCATTCTACCATAAGAAAGATTGTTCACAAATGGAAAAACATTCCTGGGAAAGTCCCAAAAAAGGATGTTCCAGCAAATTCACCCTAAGATCTGTCACGATCCTGGGTCTTATGACCCAGTGTTTTGAGTTTTAGTTCATTTTGATGTTTATAGTATGTTTAAGCTCATTAGGTCTCCTATGTTCATTTGCTTATTAGTTCCCCCTTGTGTTTCCAACCCATGTTAAGTCTCCCCTGCTCTTCATGTGTTTCATGTCTGTGTCTTACGTTGTCAAGTTCTGGTTGTCATGTCTGCGTCTCATTATGTTTCCTATTCTATTTTGTAGAGATCTTGTGTTTTTATATTATGGTTTATGTTTTGAGTCCTTTGTTGTACTGTTTCTTGTTTCCCTAGGTCTCATTTATGGTTATCATAGGTTTAGTTCTTTGGCTTTGTAATATGGCTTCCCTGTGTTCCATGTTGTGTCTACTGTGACGTTTTTGTACCATGTTTCAGGTTCCTACTGTATGTTCTGTCTCCCCAGTTGCTGTTAAGTTTACATGTCTAGAGTTCAGTCAGTGTGTTTCCTGTTTTACTTTGGAGGTCCGTGTCTCATGTCAGTGTTTCTAGTTTTGCTTCCCTTGTCTCGTCCAGCCTGATTACTCCCAGCTGTGCTCTCCTTCTGTGTCTCGTTCCCTCGTTATCCCTCTGTGTATTTGAGCCCTGTGTTTCTCTTTGTCAGTGTCATGGCTGTGTTTCCCTGTGTGTCAGTTTATCCATGCCCCAGTTTAGTTTAGTTTTGTTATATTTTTGTGCCATTCTGCAATAAAGCAGCTTTTTGAGTTTTATTCCTGCGTGGTGAGTTTTGCGTTTGGGTCCTTCTCTTGCCTGCACACAGCCGAAACATGACAAGATCAGACAATGTAATACTGCCAAAAGACAAGAGCTACTTCTACAGGTCTCTGTTAATCAAGGTGTTATATTGGTCAACTCAAAGTCCAGACTGTGACAAGTCTGCAATGCTCTGAACTTTAAGACCTCAATTAACTGAAGCCACGATGTAAAAAAGAGTGGGACAAAATTTTTGAGAGTCATGTGAAAGACTGATAAAAGGACTTCTGGTTGACTTGTCCCAAAGTTCAAATCATTTGACTGGAGTAATCTTGGGCATGTTAAGTACAACAAAAAAATATAGTGTCAAGTAATAAATCAGATAAGACATGTGAGAGGACAGTTGTGCACTTCCAAAAACAACCCACACTGATGCCACAAAATCATAAAAATAATTAAACTCATTCTGCTCTGCGAAAGCAGCCTTTGTGTGAGTTAGAGAGGCAAGGTTATCCAGAAGGTAACTCTTTAAGTTCTGAATAATATAAAAACAGAAATAGGAGAATGAGCAATTTAAAAAGTAACTGTGGAAAGTGCAATTTGGGTTAGTTAAGTTAGTAAGAAACTCTTTCAACATTGTACTTCCAAACAGTTTGCTTTGATTTTACTCTTCCACACAAGGAAATATGCTTCGAAAGTGAGAAAAGAAATTGCTTAAAGATGACGGCTGTGCTGTGATTTTGGCTCCAATAACATGTAAAATACTGAGACACAACAGAAGGTTTCTTACTTTTGTCTCTCTCGTACTGTGCTTACTAATGAGGATGAAGAGGGGTTGTCCTCTGATTGTTGGTGTTTTCCATCTAATACTGACTTGAGGTGACTGTTGCTGTAAACTATGAACTGAATGCTATTCAGGACAGCCCTAGTGTTGTTGTATTTGTAGAATATATATTCCATTATTTATTGTTGAGGTCATGACATCTTCCTTAAATCCTGAGCTGAAAACAAGATTCTCTTTTTCATGTCCATGCTTTTGTTCCTGAAAGGTTTTCATTTTTTATACCAAGAACAGCTTGTTCATATCATTACCCAAACTGAACTCCAGAATCAGACAGAGACCCCATGAGATAACATATTACCATTCAAGGCTCATCTGAACCAATTTACCCAGTCGTCAGGCATAAAAATCGACTTTTTTCTGTACAAAGCCTGCTCCTCTTTTGATAACATAAAAAAATCCTGTACAATCCACAGTTATCTCTGTATTTGATATGGAGACATTTTGTATTCACTTGCCGTCCCTTCTACTTTGAAGTCTTTTGATGCTGTTTACCTCGGTGCCTAGCATCTTAACACTGGAGATGCTTTTCCACACTCGGATATTGTTATTCATATCAAAAACCTGTCTGCTGTGATGAGAAAAATGCCTCACTTTATGTTTATCCGCAGTGTAAAGCATGGCTTTAGACGCCGGACTCTGAACCTTGCATCGGGGCTGGCCTTCTAATGCATTAATTATGACACGTTATCACAGGACTGATTTGTGTTAAATACCCAGTGAATAAATTCTGACCTTGGAAAAAGAGTTTTGGGTATTAATCACCTTATTAATGGAACGGACTGCAGAGCACGTTGAGACTAGACTTTCTCGTCTCCCTCTGTGATTTTAAAACGATGATATCTCACATTTTCTGTGATGTTTGTAATTGCTTTTTTCTCCATCAGTGTGTCCCTGAATGTCACAGAAGCAGCCGGAACATGCAACTGAAATTATATGTATTTTCCTTTGACATTTCAAGGATATCTCTTCTATTTAAAACGTGTTTTTTAATCAACTGAGTGATGATGCTTTCCGACCACTCAACTTTGTAATAATCTGAAACTTATTTTTGATATTTCATCCAGTTTTAGTTAAATCTTTCAGCTGCGTTTTCACTCAAAAATGGATGAATCAATCATAGAAGAGGAAGGGTTTTATTCCATTGAATTATATAACAAAACCCAGATTTGGTCACCATTGACAGACGTCCACACTGATGAGAACCCGAATGAATTTGGTGCCCGTTTTCTGAGATTAAGCAGTAATTGCCATGACAACAATCGTTTACATACAGGGCTGATAATTGAGAGGTTTCATCGGAGCGAGGAGGGACTGTCACATTTTCCACTCAGCAATTACAAAACCACTCATCGTTTATGAAACCGTTGAGATGTAGAGTGGAGAGCGTTTTTGTTAAAGCTCATCACAACAGCTGACAGCCCCAAAGCCAATTGAGCCTTTTTATCATTTTAGCAACATTAAAGCACTTTGAAGAAATAGGTGCTCTTTCCAGTTAATCAAATAAACAATCAGCAGCAAATAAAAGCCAATAAGAATAACAATAAAATGATAAAACAAAACGCGGTGGATCAAACAGGGAAATAAACCAGGCAGCAGTATGCCCTTAAGTGTGTTTACAGTGGGAATATGAATTGCTTGGGGCCTGATTTCAACAGTAAATGTCTGAGAGCGTATAAGAGAAACACACTGCAAAGCTCACAACCCAGCTTAGCAAACCAAATTGATGTTTTGAAAACCGAAATTCATACTAAACGACTGCTATAACCTTCAGCGCAGAGAAAAAAACTGCTGCAAAAACCTCCTGGTGACTGTATTAAGCACCACATTAGCAGGCAAGGCTCTCTATTTAATCTTTAATAATACCTTTCTTTTTTGTCTAAGTGAAAGTGAAAGACAGATCAAAATGAGCTTCCACCTAAAGACCTGACTTCTAGTTTTGAAATGTTAATGAAAATTATTTCACCACAGATGCCATCCTTGAGTAAGGAACCATCTTTTAGAAACTTAAAGTAAAGAAGGTCCAACACATTTTTCATTGATTAGTTTTTTCTTTGTCTGTCTGTCTTTTTTTGGCCTAGACTACTGAAACTTTTCTCTGGAAAAATCAATTCATTGCCATTGCAAACAACCCACACAATGCACTGTGGCGTGGGACCAGTACCAAACTGAAGTATAAAATTTAATGTGATATAAGTCCTGGAAAGGAGAATGGCCTGACATGATTTATAGCGGTCAGCAGCTCCAACCAAACCTCCCACTTGATTTGTCTGAGCTCCACTAGTCTTGTGTGTTTCAGTGTGAGTAAAGTTTGTCTTACATATTAGAGGAAGACTCGGCACCAGAGCATATCGTTAGCTTCATAGCATAAGTGCCTAAGTCATTTTTTTGTGATGACATAGGCAGACGGACAGGATGATGCAGCAGTGGTAGGGGAGTAAAGTTAGGCAAAAATCTCAATTTGACCAAAAAATGACTTAGGCACTTATGCTATGAAGCTAACGATATGAACTTTGACAGGGGGACATCAACTCACTTTGCTATTTCATTAAAACACTCCCACACACAGCAAATAGATACACATGACTACTATCATTACTGTTGTTATGGATAAATAAGCTACTTGAAAGCACATCACAAACAAACGCACACAGTATGCTCATACAGAAATGTATCCACAGACACAAAGTGCAAAATATCTCTCTTAGACTGCAAAGTGTAGAAAGCAGGAGATACATTTTCTCACAGACACAGTTAGTGTCTGTGAGTGCAGAATATTCTCAACATGTTTCCATTTGTTTTGCAATTGTTAAGTGATATGATGTTTCAGAGCTAGCCTCACAAGCTGACGAATCTCTTCTTAGCTCCGAAGCAATGAGAGGGGTGCATCTCAAAATCTCTTGCCTAGGACCATCTGCTCCAAAGTCAGCGTCCTCCTCAGTCATGCTGGTTAGCGCTGTCGCTGCAAAAACACTAAGCTGTTAACTGAATAACTTGAGCTGCAGCAACTGCTTTTCTACTGTAATTGAGCACTCAATGCACGTTATGCAACAGGCCTAATTCACCCAAGCACTTTTTTTCCACACTTATGTGCGTTCTATCTAACATTCACACACATTTGCACTCCAGAGAGCAACTTGGTGTTCAGTATCTTGCCCAGAAGCGCTTTGGCATGCAGAGTGGAGCAGCCAGGCATTAAACCACCAACCTTCCAGCCTGCTCTACCTCCTGAGCAACAGTCACCCCATAACGTAGATCAGCAGAATTTTGCTGAAGGAGCACAGTGACCTTTTCGGCTGGGCCTGGACCCCAAAAGCCTGTCTACAGTGCTGGATAGAGGCAAGAAAAGAAAGTAAATAGTAAATGTTACCTTGGAGGAGCCCAGTCGTGTTTGGTGCAGTCTAACAGAGTTCCCACGTAGGTTCTCTTCCTCCACGTCACATTCACCACCAGCACACCTGTCAGCCGCAGAGGAAAGGGACGGCAGTCAGCATTGGATTCACTGACAAGCCTATATATCAGAGTTTGGCATAGAGTTCAGAACACAAACCCCCCCACTCAGCATCCTAGATAAAAATAATTGTTTGGCCCAAAAGTGTCTCACATCTGCAGTTTTCTTTGGACCACATTTGGCTTTGATTGACTGCACTGGCTCAGGGAGAGACTTGTTGCCTCGACTCAGCCACAGTTACACTTTACACGTGCCAGATGTTCGGTCTGTTGTGACACACCACGATTGTCACAACCCATATTACTACGTTATGCTCGCCTCATTACTGTTGGCCCACACAACAAGTGCTGTAACTAAGTTGTACTTGCCAAAACGAGTCCAGATCAAGCCCAGATGTGACTGGAACGAAGGCTTTAATTTACAAGGGTGTTCAGCTACAACGCTGTTCTGAAATATACACACTCACATACACACATTTAGTGGAAATAAGATCTCAAAAGTGATTTTTATACAGATATTTGACATATCAAACAGTGACACAGGCGTGTTGAAAGATCTGCTGAAGTGATTTTACAGCATATCAACTGTGTCTGAAAAAAGCGTTCACCTTTTTTCACCCTTTTCCAGGCCCTCTGTGGAGCCACGGAAATTCTCATTTTTCTGTTCTGGCTTTTATCTAAAGACGAACGTGTAATGAATGATGAAACAATAAAATGGAGCAGACCGCATTTTAGAGGAGAGAAAAATCGCTGCGATGAGCAGACATCTGAGAACAGCAGCAGTTAATAGTGTGGAAATAAAAAGCCGTGGCAACCTGAAGGACGGAGTTCATGCTTTTAAGAATTGTTTTCAAAGTGCTTCACGTTGTTTTGCTACAGCCTGTGAAATCACTCGGTCTGATATTACTCAGGAACATCCTCGGAGGAAAAATACAGTCTTACATTCTTGTCAGGTTTTTGTATGGAAGAAATATTTAGTCTTCAAGGTTTAAACTCTAATCTGAAGACGCTTTTGCCATCTGAAATGAATGCCTCTCTCTTCTCTCTCGCTCCCAGACTGACATTTGAAAACCATTAACCTCCGTTTTGTGATGCGCCAGCGGCAACGCCAGGCAAATCAAATTTTGGACGCATTACAGCTTTAAAACGAGGCTTGACTGCAACACACGACTCCCCGCTCTTCAATTATGTCTGATAGCCGCCACCTTCACAGAACACTCTCACAGATAAATGAGAGGCAGGAAACGCAGCCAAGAAGGTGGATGTGATCAGGCGGAGGCCCTAAAATCTCCAGTTAAAATCTCCACTTAATGAACTGGACGGATTTCATTAGTCAAGAACTTAACCCTCATAATTTCCACTTTAAATACTCCAACAAGGCTTTGATCAAATGTATTTTCTACTTTGTTCAGCCAGGTCCTGTCTCATTTTCATGCCAAACTGGAAAAGGAATGTTTAGGAACGCAGGAACGTTTAAAAACACGAGAAGGTCTGACGTGTAAAATGAAACAGATTAGTGTTATCGACCACGTTAACTCGTTGGTAATAAAAGTCAGATTTCCTCAGGTTGTATCCTCCAATTTAAGCAGCTTTCAAATGACAAATTCAGTGGTTTTATCAGAGGTTGTTCGACTGACTACTACACCAAATGACTTTTCAAGCATTTTTAGTGTTGCAGACAAACATCCAACGCTGCAATGAAAAGCTCGCTGTTTTGCTAAAGCTGTAGTGTGCCTCCATCATCTCGATCATGCAGTATAAGGCAGTCATAAAAACCGGTCTTCTCATCTTGACATTCAGATGACTATGAACACGTTTATCTTCTTTCTATCTTCTTGTGTTCACACTGTGCAGTTGGATTCAAAGCAATAAAAGTGAGCACATCAACGGAAGATCAATACATCAAGGAGCACTCAGACTCCAATCAGCAGAAGTCCTGTGAGAGAAAGCTCTCTAGACATGGTCTCAGAGTCTCTAAATGACTTCTTAGGAGAGCAAACGCTCAGATTTGGCTCAGATGCAGCTGATTTCACAGTGAGCAATGGAAAAAAGACATCAGAGCATGACCAATATAGTGGTTTTAAGACTGATTCTTTTTTTTGTTTCTTTCAGACACATGAAACAGATTTCCCTAAAACTTGAATGCATTGGTGTCCAAACCCAGGCCTCGAGGGCCGGTGTCCTGCAGGTTTTACATTTGTCCTTGATCCATCACAGCTGATTTGAATGGCTAAATTACCTCCTCATCATGTCTTGAAGTTCTCTAGAGGCCTGGTAATGAACTAATCATTTGATTCAGGTGTGTAGACCCAGGGTGAGATCTAAAACCTGCAGGACGTTACAGAGTGCCCTCTGGTGGACAAACTATGCAATGTTAACACATCTAAAATGGCTGAAGGGTGTTTCTCTTCTCCTTTTTTTACTTTTTATTTTTATTTACACATAAAAGTGAGGAACCTTCTAGTGGCCAGCAGAGCCTTGTGGAAACGATCAAACATCCCTGCTACCACTGTGTCGCTGAAAGTCTCCAATGGTTCTTCCTTTTCTTGTTTTGCCGAGAGCGTCCTCCCTTTCTGCAACTGCTCTACTGAAGGTAGGCCAGGTTGACAGACTGTGACATAACTCTGGATTCTCTGTGAAGCAATGGGACTGACCTGGGTCTGTGAGCACCAACTCCCAGGGGTGAGACGGACTGGAGAATGCTGTATGCGAGCGACTGAGTATGGACATCAGTCACAAAATACAAACATTCACATGCCTGCCCAAATTGGCTACATTGCTGTACAGGCAATGTGTAATGTATGCAGGAAATATGAGCAGACGAAAGGTCAACTACCAGAAAAACTGTGCAAAGCTCGCTCCCACTTCTCGGGTTCAACTCGGCATGGAAGTGAACGGTGTGTTCTACAAGCTGGGCAGCTAAGTTGAGCACTGGAGTGATGCGTAAGATGCATGTTACATGCAGATTTCACAGAGACTCAGAAAAGTCCTTTGGGGAGTCAACATAGCTATCTGTGACAGCTGGGATAGACTCCACGACCTTCACACAACCATGAGCTGGATGATGGATGGATGGATTTTTCATTTATCAGCTGTTACAAATGACGATACCGACGTTTCTCCACAGTCACTTGGACTCAAGCCCACTGAAATAAGGTGTATATAAGAGCTGGTTTAGCAATAAGAGTTAAAAGATGGAAAAACAGTGGTCAGCAGGGGCCAATTCCTCTGGTTAAAAAAACAGAAAAATAAAAACTGAATTTATAGACGAAAATAATCCCACTGCTTCTGATATGTAAACACTATCCCGATGATTTTTTTATGTCAGTGACGAGTTTCAAGTCTTATTGAACACTGAAAGGTTTGTATTCATGTAACGCAGTCTGTTATCCGTGCAGCATAATGACACTGAAACTAGTTTTCGACTGCCAGCTGAGATTCTTTCTCTGCAGTCTTGAGCCTCAAATGGAGGTAATGCAAGTACAGATGCTCCCTGAGGACTGGAAACAACCCACTGCAAATATGTGAGAAACTGCTTGCTGAGTGCATTCCTCGGTATGCCTCTGTATCTTCTGAGACTATAAAGGTTTGGATATAGCTGTAAATAAAATCCTCTCTTGATTCTGTTCAGTCACTAAAAGTTCATTTAGAGGCCAGGTGTGGGTTTTTGGAAGCTGTGTAAGGCCCAGGGGTGCAGCTGCATAAAGCTCTCACCAGTAAAGCAGATTTTTAAATCATCAGAGTTATAAAGCTACATATACACATGGCTCCGCTGCATAAAAGTCAATATTTGTAGAACTGCAGGACAACATGTATAAGCCTCATTTAAATTCTCCTCACAAATGTACACAAACAGCCCAAAACAACATGGTTTGAGGGCACATCACCACTCATTAGTCGTGTTAGTGAGAAAAAGGGCCAAGAAGACATGCAATTTAACCAATTTGCAACACTGACGACTCTCTTCAACAGCAGAACACAGTTATTTTATCATAATTATCAAAATGTAACATCAGAATCATGCTCAATAATACATTTATGAAGCATATTCTGAAATAGGCTCAGCAGATGAGACTCAAATTAAAGAAAAAAATGACTAAAATGTAAAGAACTGGTCCAGTGTTTGATATGCTCCCACCTGACTAAATTGTCACTGGCTGGACAACTGGCAATTTTACATTCACAATACAAAACGCACAGCAGGACCAATCCATTACTGGCAGCAGGAGGTATTTTCACATAACTGACTTCTGGCTTAATTATATTTAAATTTACTGAACTTACTGAACAAACTAATTGACACCATCTCAAAGATGCCAACAAGATGTGTGTAAGCTTCACAGTTTTCAAATCACAGCTGTCAACAAGGAGCATTACGTAAAAACACTAGTCTTACACCTGCACTTTTTTGAGTGGCCAACAGGGGGCGTTTCCTGTGGATGCAGATATTAGCCTGGTGGCATAAAGGCTATAGGAAAATGACCCTTTGGCTTTTCCTGATTAATGACTAAGACTATGATTAATGAATAAGTTTATGTCCTCAGTCGCTAGTTTTAGTTAAATAAGTTTTATTTAACACAGCACGATGTTTATTTATAAATTAGGGACCCCATTATAGTCAAAATGGAGAATAAAGCAGGGTGTGCTGTACCACATGACTGACAGGTAGCTGTTGCATTAGCGTGAAGTGTTCCTTGTTTTCTCAGTCAGATCCACCTCTAGTTTGTCACATCTGGCTTCAAAACACCAAAATAGCAGTGCCAAAGGGACTTTTCAAATGTGCAATATCACAGAGGCTATTTTTATCTTCTTTAATACAGTCTGTGGTAAATAAAGCAGCTACAAGCTGGATGTGACGCCCTCTCTAAATGGAAAAACGGCTCAGAGACTTTTGCTATGATTTTACTGAAACAACTGAAAGGCACTTTGAGTTCACGTTTCATTTCTTTTTTAAATGCCGCATAAATAAAATTGACTGAACTTGACTGAGACATTCATCATACAAAAA